GGGTCCAGGTCTGGGCGGAGAAGCCCTTTCCGGCAGAGGCCGGCCTTGCACTATGTCTGGGTGATACCTGCAGTTGTTGGTGACAACTCAAGGTCATCCCACAATTCATCTGGCTTTTGCCTTTACAGGCGGTATCCAGAGGATGAAGTTGAAAATACAGTTGACCCTTGACCAACATGGGGGTTAGGGGTCCCGACCCCCCATATAGAACTTTTGACTCCCCCAAAACTTAACAGCCTTACTGTCGACCAGAAGCCTCACCGATAGCGTAAGTCATCGATTAACACGTATTTTGTATAGGTATTTCAAATGGTCTCCTGGGGTGCCTGGTGGCTCAGTCGGTTGAGCATCTGACTTCAGCTCAGGTCGTGATCCTGCGGTCCGTGAGTTCGAGCCCCGCGTCGGGCTCTGTGCGGACAGCTCGGAGCCCGGAGCCTGCTTCGGATTCTGTGTCTCCCTCTCTCTCTGCCCCTCCCCCGCTCATGTTCCGCCTGTCTCTCAAAAATGAATAAACATTAAAAAAAAAAAAAAGGAAAATCGTAAAGAAGAGAAAATACGTTCACAGTACTATTGTGTATTGGAAAAAAAAAAGCAGTGAGGAATTGGGCCCGCACGTTCAGACCCGTGCTATTCAACGGTCAACTATGATAACCGGAGGTGCGGCCCTCTTTCTACCGTCCCCGCAGGAAAGGTTCCAGTGCACCCATCTCCTCCCTGACAAAGCAAAGCACAGACGTGGACAAAGAACCAACCCAGCCATCCAGGGCGCTTCAAGCTCTCAGGGCTCTGGCCTACCTACCCTTTAGGACAATTTGGCATCAACACGACTGAGTCTATCTATGTGCTGGCGATGGCCCGATACTGGACCTCAGACCCACATGGCTCCAGAATTCGTCTTGGCCAGGGGTGGGGGGTGTGGTGGTCTTTCACCGGCAGGACGCTTATCCCCACCAGCATTCAGCCGGGAGTCATCAGACCCCAGCCAGGATGGGCAGCCACCGTGAGCCCGGCAGGGAGAGGTGGGGGGTGGGGTGGGGTTTTAGCGTGTTTCTGGGCAAAATCAGTTATATGTAGGGTTGCAGGGAGGCTGAAAATCCTAGCTCACAGGTGGCGGAAATGCTTACGGAACAAGGCTCGGCTGTAGCCTTCAGGCGGCATTACAAATCTTTCCCCCAGATTCAAAGCAAGCAGGAGGAGGAAATCGAGGGACAGAGGCGAGGATCCCAGGAAGAATCCAGTCCAGGTAAAGGGCTGACCACGGGCCCCTAGAGACAGGTGCCTGACCATAGGCCACTGGCTAAAACACTCCTATTGCCAATTTTTGATCTGCTTACAACCCCACCCGCCCCCACCGCCACCGCTTAGCGCTGATGGAATTCAAATTTAACCCTGAAATCCGTAAGTTCCTAACTGGTGGTCAACAGAAACCCCAATAGAACAAGCAGAAAATATTCCCTCTTCCTCCAAAACCGTAGAAGGGCAGCCACCGTCCTGGGTCAGGAAGTGGTCTTTGCAAATGTCGCTCTTTGAAAATCGGCATAAAACGTATACAACATAAAATATGCCAGTTTAACTACTTTTAAGAGTACAATTCAGTGATGTTAGGGCCGGTCACACTGTTGTGCAACTGTCACCATATCTAGTTCCAAAACTTTTTCATCACCCCCAACTGAAACTTTGTACCCATTAGTCAATAACACCGTCCTCCCTTCTCTTCTCCCCCACCCGAGAGTCTCTTCTACTTTCTGTCCCAATTTGCCTGTTCTAGATCTTTTCTTTTAAGTTTACTTATTTATTTTGAGAGAGAGAGAGAGAGAGACTGAGGTAGGGGCAGAGAGAGAAGGAGAGAGGGAATCCCAGGCAGGCTCTACACTGTCAGTTCACAGCCCGACATGGGGCTCGATCTCACGAACCGTGAGATCATGACCCGAGCCGAAATCAAGAGTTGGACACTTAACTGACTGAGCCACCCAGGCAACCCTGTTCTAGGTATTTTTTAATTTATTTTTTAACGTTTACTTATTTTTGAGAGATAGAGACAGAGCACAAGAGGGGAGGGGGCAGACAGAGAGGGAGACACAGAATCCAAAGCAGGCTCCAGGCTCCGAGCTGTCAGCACAGAGCCCGACGCGGGGCTCGAACCCACAGACCGCAAGATCATGACCTGAGCCGAAGTCAGACACTTAACTGACTCAGGCGCCACCCCCTTTTTGTATATTTGTGTTCAAAGTGAGTCTCTTTAAATACAGCGTATTGCTACAGCAATTTTTTTTAATGTTTGTTTATTTTTGAGAGAGAGAGAGAGAGAGAGAAAGCATGAACAGGGGAGGAGCAGAGGAGAGGGAGAGAGAGAATTCCAACCAGGGTCCACACTATCAGGATAGAGCCTGACATGGGGCTCGATCTCATGAACCGTGAGATCATGACCTGAGCCGAAATCAAGAGTCGGATGCTTAACTGAGCCACCCAGGCACCCCTCTTTTCATCTTTTTGAGGGTGCCTTGTCCACGATCAATCGCTTCTTGCTTTCAGGATTGTCTCCTTGTCTCTCAGCAACTTGATTATCACGTGTCTCTGCGTGGCTCTCTTGGAGTCTATCTGCTTGGAGTTCAGTGAGCTTCTTTGGGTGTAGATCTGGGTCTTTCGTCAAATCTGGGAAGTTTCCAGCCATTATTACTTCAAATAATCTCTCTGGTCCCTTCTCTCTTCTTCCTCTGGGACCCCCTGTCTGCCCATGTTGTTATACTTGAGGATGTCACCGCAGTGCCTCTGGGACTGTTCGTTTTTCTTCACTCTTTTTCCTTTCTGCTCTTCGAGGAGCACAGTGTCGTCGTCCTGATCTTCAAGTTCACGGATTCTCTCTTCTGCCTGCGCAACTCTGCCACTGAACCCCCAGTGAGTTTGTCAAGTCTCGTACTTTGAACCCCTGAGTTTTTCTGTCTCTGTTAAACTTCCCATTTGTTCTTACATCGTTCTCTTGATTTCCTTTAGGGTTTTTTGTTTTTTTGGTTTTTTTTTTGCTTTTTGTCTGTGGTTTCCTTTAACTCGCTGGGCGTATTTAAGACAGTCGACTGAATGTCTTTGACTAGTAACTCCACCTTCTGGACTCCCTCGGGCACTTTGTCCGGTTTTGTCTTCCTACCTGCAAGCCCCATTTTCCTACTTCTCTGTAAACTTTGTCAATTTGTTGGGAACTGGATATTGGAGATGATAATGTGGGAACTCTGGAAACCAGGGCTTACTTTGGCTGCTGGAGAGCTACGGTCTTCCGTTTCTATAGTGACTTTCCCCAGCTCTGCCATTCCCTGTATTCCTTGTTGGTCAGGGACCGAAGCTTCTGTCCTGCTGCCTTGGTGGTCAGCGTGAGGTCTGGCAGAGGTGCCTGACCCGCCGATGTCCCGCTGTGCTGCTGGCCATCAAGCATGCCCCTGGCTCTCGTGCTGGATGAGGTCCCGGAGTCCCCGGACTGTTAATTCTGATCGTTATTCCCCCCGGCTGAATGGTCTTCTTGGAGAGGCTGGCCCCGGCGTGGCTTCTTCTACGATTTTCTCTCACCAATAGTATTTTTTTTTTTTATTATTCATTTTTGAGAGACAGAGACAAGAGTGTGAGCAGGGGAGGGGCAGAGAGAGAGGGAGACACAGAATCTGAGGCAGGCTCCAGGCTCCGAGCTGTCCGCACAGAGCCTGACGCGGGGCTCGAACCCACGAACTGTGAGATCATGACCTGAGCCGAAGTCGGACGCTTAACTGACTGAGCCACCCAGGCGCCCCTCACCAATGTTATTTTTAAACACACCCAAGTTTCCAGGCTTGTGGTTACGTCCCGTGAAAGTACCTCCAGCCTCTAATCCCAGGGTTTCTGGGGGGCTCGGTGCCCAGGTGAATGACACTGAGGTGAGCATCTATGTGCTCTGTGAAAGATGGGCTTGTGTGTTTCCGGAGGGGAGCCAGAGAACGGGGGCTGGCCGCTCTCGCTTCTCCTCCATACAAATAAGCCAGCCACGCAAGATTTCCTATCTGAACACAGAAGGTGAGCGTCTGTAGCTCACTGGATGTGCAAGAACAAAACCACGACTCCCAGACTATAGTAGAAACTGGATTTTAATAGAATATTCAAGTCTAGCATTTGCTATTTACAACAAATAAATATTGCCCCTCCCCAACTGGTAAACTTTTTGTTTTGTTTTGTTTTGTTTTTGCCTTTTATACAAATACTCAACACCCCTCCCCTTCCCCCAAATCCTTCTTTCCCACTAACCCCCGTCTCGTGCGGTCTCGTGAAGCCCAGGGCGTGGGAGTGAGCGACACCCGCGGTGTCGTGAGATTCAGTGTCAGCGGGACTCGTCTGAGACCGTCCTCACTCACCGGGTGAAGAGTGTGATCTGTGAAGAGGCTTCCCCCCCACCCCAACCTCCTGGGGGAGGGCTGGGCAGGGGGTGGGCGAGACTCCTTCACTCTGCTGGACCCGACGGTGGGATCTTTGGTGCGGCCCGGGAAAGGCTAGTGTGGTGGCCAAGAGGGGCCGGGACCCCAGAAGGGCACGGCCGATGCCCGCGGGCGGAGGAGAGAATTGCAGTGGTCAGACCCAGTGGATGAGCAGGTGCCCTGGGGTGCCCACGGGCACAGGTGGCAGTGACCCACACCTGAGCAGGTGTGAGGGGCAGCACACAGAGGGCAGTGCCCGGCGGCACGCGGGGCTCCGTGCCCACCGACGGCGCTCCTCGGCCAAAGTCAGCTGGTCCTCCGGTTCCGGAGAGCAGAAGGCACCTAAGGCGGCGAGTGGTCCACAGGAGGCCAGGTCAGCCCGTCAAGCAGCAGGCGTCAATCCCGGCAGCGGGAGACGTTGAGGGTGAGACGAGTCTGGGGGTGGCCTGAGCTGGCGGGTTGGGCAGAGGGTGCCCGCCTGGCCTGGGCCACCGGAGTCCGGAAGTGCTCAGTTACCCAGGCAGCCGGACCCTGCAAGAGGGGTCCCTGTGGCGGGCCAGCACCGGGGACGAGTTAGAAGATGCCCTTGGCGATCCTGAGCCCTTTCTGCTTCATGCGAGGGAGAGTCGAGCTGGCGCCATGCCTGACCTTTGCCCCCTTTGTGAAGGTCCGTTTCTTTAGGACAAAGTCATAGTTGGCAGTAGAGTTCATGGCGTAGAACACGTTAGCGTTGTCCGGGATCTTCAGCTCTGGTGGGGGAGGGGCGGGGGGTCAGTGGTGCTGACAGAGACCTCACCTGCCCCCCCCCCCCCAACCCCAACGAGGGCAGGCCCGAGCCAAAGGCCTGAGACGCCCAGTCTAAATCCAGGAATACCAAGGACCCCTGGGAAGGACACCTGCCGAGGGTCGACTGCTGGGACTCGTGAAATCCAATGACTCTTGGTTACAAAGGGACTCGACTCCCTAAGTCCCTGCCTCGGCCTGGAGCCGGAAAAGGGTTATCCATCCTGCACACCTGTTGCCTTCACTGACCACCATCCCGAGCTGGAATCTAGAACCCCTCCCCTGGATCCCGTGCTACTCAGGACCAAGGCTGAGAGACCCAGCGACGGGCAGACCCTGCCCCAGGTCTTCTGTGCCCGGGTCCAGGACGCCTCCCTGCTCCGAGTGGCAGATGCCAGGCTTTACTTGGGCCCCTCCTACCCTGTCTGTAGCCCAGCGTTGCGCCCCTGCCTCACTTTCCCTACCTTGCCTGGGCCTCAGTCCTCCCGCCCTGCAAGATGGGGCACGCGCCTGCGCAGTCCCCCTCCCCACGCCACCGAAATGGTGCAAGAAGGTGAGAGAGGGTTTAGAAACCACTTGTGGGGACGCTGGGGGTCACTAACGGCCGGCAGCAAACGTGCGGCTCGTGGAGAGAAAACAGGGCGAGGACGGTCCGTACAGGTAACCTGCACAGCACGTGCTTCCAGGTGTGCGTAGGGATTAACCCCTGGCTCGCTCCCCGCTCTCGTGGGGAGGGGGACACAGGCACAGGCGGCCTAAGGACCTTGCCCGAGCTCTCCGAGCCCCGCAGCACGGCTCCGAGTCTGTGCTTGCTCTTGGTTCTGTCGCTTTCCCAGCTCTGACCCACTGAGCCACACCCTCGGAGCCTGTTTTTAGCATCTGCCGGGGGCGCCTGGGGGGTTCAGTCGGTTAAGCGCCTGACTTCGGCCCAGGTCACGATTTCACGTTTCATGAGTTCAAATCCCACGTCAGGCTCTCTGCTGTCAGGACAGAGCCCGCTTCGGATCCTCTGTCCCCCTCTCTCTCTGCCCCTCCCCTGCGCGTGTTCTCCCTCAAAAATAAACAAACAACTGGGGGGCTCCGTCGGTTACGCGTCCGACGTCGGCTCAGGTCACGATCTCCCAGTTCACGGGTTTGAGCCCCGCATCGGGCTCTGTGCTGACAGCTCAGAGCCTGGATCCCGCTTCGGATTCTGTTGTCTCCCTCTCTCTCTGCCCCTCCCCCCCTTGTGCTCTGTCCCTCTCTCTCTCTCCAAAAGAAACATTAAAAAAATGTTAAAAATAAATACATAAATAAATAAACATTAAAAAAAAATTTTTTTTCAATTGTTAACGTCTGCTATGGTCAGAATGATTGTGTGTGCCCAAGATTCGTGTGGGAATCCTAATGCCCCAAGCACTGGGGCCTTGGGGCAGTGATGAGGTCAGGATATTATAATAATCCCATTCCTGAGACCCCCACGCCCCTTCTGCCACGTGAGGACACGAGAAGGTGGCCGTCTGCCACCCGGAAGAAGGCCCTCACCAGAACCTGACCCTGCCGGCACCTTGATCTTAGACTTCCAGCCTTTAGAACCGTGAGCAGTACATTTCACTAGTTTAACAGCCCCTCCCCGGCCCGCGGTGTTTTGTCACGGCAGCCTGCACGGACGAGGACAGGGTCACGCGTGCGTGCATTTTCACATGTTTGAGGTTCTTTCGGAAGCACGTTTCCCCTCTCAGCCAGCCTGTCCCTGTGAACGGCCCTCGGGCTTGGCCGTCTGGCTGCGGGGCCCCAGGAGAAAAGCCTTTTCTCTTCGCTCCTTGGTGCCGCTAAGCTGCGAACTAGGTCTCCCGCGGCCGGTTCCCGCCCAGGAAGGGGCACATGCCAGGGGCCAACGAGGATGCTGCCCCAGGGAGCGGGGGGCCGTGGGCCTGGGGTGTGGTGCCGCCCTCCCCCGCAGCCCGCCCGCCTGGCCCCGGACTTACTGCGGTCGTCGGAGATAACCTGCACGAGCTCGTATTCGTCGGCCTCATCCTCTTCCAGGTTGTGTTTGTCCATGGCCTTGCGGATGACGGCTGGAGCCTTGTCCTGGCTGGTTACCTGGATCAGGGAGGGGGGGGGGCAGCCATGAGGTCGAGGGTCCGGGAGGCGCCCCCACAGAGCATAGCACCAGGGACCCTCGGAGCTGCCTCGCGCTGCGTTCAAAGGCTCAGCTTCTGGCTGGGTCCACGGGCGCCTCACCACCTGGTCCTGCCCCGGGAGGCCCCCCACACTATGATGAGGGCCTTTTCCCCATTGTTCCTGCCTCCCCCCCCCCCC